ACACACACACACACACACACACACACACAGAGGGAGGAGAGAGAGAGAGAGAGGAGGGACAGATGCATAGCGGCCAGAAGACGTGTCTGACTCTATTGGAGTGGGGGGGGGGGTCAAAGCGGCAGTGTTTGTGTGAGAGAGAGACGAGTGATGATGGTACAAGGGCCAATTTCTGTCTCCCTCTCTTGGCGTGTGTGTGTGGGTGTGTGTGCCTATGCAAACGAACGTCGAACTGGCGGCTCCTTTTTCTTTCTGCTACCACTTTGACTTTCGTATAGATTCTTTTTTTTTTCGTGTTGATTTTGCTTTATTTCTACGTAAGTGTTTTTTTTTTCCTTCACTCGCTTTTTTTTTTCTTCATCGCACGCCCACCCCGTTTTTCACTCGCTTGCGCGTGAAAGTCGGAGTGACACCGTTTTCCTTTTCACACGCGTGCATGCAGCGTTACGTGGCGCCTGTCTGCAAGTGTATGCGAGGGGAGAGCGACCGCCGGGTGTGGCAGAGAGATTCTCGCAAGCGTGCGACGCACACGAGGGGTGCAGTGGAGGCTGCTTTGGTGGCGGGTTGCGACGTAAACCGCATGGAGTTAACTCTACGCCGCTCCGTCCTTTGTTGTTGGGGCCTCTTTTTTCCACCACATGGCCGTACTTTTGACGCCTGTGCAAAGGAGAAAGATGGAACACCAAAAGCAAAAAGAAAAAACAAAACAGCAACATTAATAGGAAAAGCGTTCAAACGCTACACTGGACAAAGCGAGCATCGTGGAGGGGATAAAGTTGGCGGGGCGTAGTTGATTTGTGCGTCCACCAAACACACACGTAAAAACACAATCACTTTCTCTTCCGACGATTTTGGAGGCGCACGTAATGATCTGACATAGACAGCTAAGTAGTACCGTCCTTGCTGTGCCGCTAGTGTTTCTATTACTACCCAGTATTTCTTTACGCGTTTCATCGGCGTTTTCTTTTTTAATATCTCCGCCAAACGTTTTGTCTCCCATACACTTAATCGAATTGCTGGTCGGCGTCGCGAGAGCGTGCGAGGGAATGAATTCGTGCTTTTTTTTGTTTATTTATTCTGCATGCATGCTCTCCCTCACTCGTTTTCAATACCAACACTCCCTCAGCCCTTAGCTCTTCTCCTTTTTTTTATGTGTGTTTGTGCGTGTGTGCGTTTGTTGTTCTTGCTTTTTCTCATCCCTACTTTGTTTCTGGGGGTTTTATCTACTCCCTGTGGCGCCGCGGGCGTGGGAAGGAATCTCCTTCTCGACCCCTCGACCCCACGCCCACCGAATGGCAGTACATTTTTCTTCACGCACCCTCGCATCGCTTGCAGTGCGGCGCGCCCTGAATCTCATATCTTTTTCCATTTGGTATTTTCCTTTGCGGTGTCCTGCTCCTGTGCATCTCTTTTCTTTCTTTTTTGTTCACTCTTCTTCATTTTTTTTTGTCGTCTTCCCACGTGCCTTTGTTGCGAATGGGAAATTAGCAGACGGTGAAGCAGGAGCCGGCGCGGCGTAAGAAGAGGAGTATTTGAACTCTCCGTGTCGCGCGGTGCGTGGACACCTAATAACAGGATAGCGGTGCACGTGCGTGGTCGCTCTGCGGAAAGCGAGAGAATTAACCACAGAAGCAGGAAAACGATAAAACGGAGTAGGAGTCCGGAGAAGGAGAAAGGATGCAGCGAAACTTGTCTCGTTTCATTTTTTTCGCGATGGCCACCGTCGTGACAATGGCGCTGAGCGTGGAAGGCCACAGCAAAGCGCAACAAGGCCCGGCTGCGCCTGACGTTCTCACCCCAATGAGCCCTTCCTCGCAGTGTTATTTGATTGGTGTCGTCGCTTTTTTTGTGGTTGCCGTGGCAGCTTTCCTTGGTGTAAGTGCCCTGGTGAATATAGACTACAGCGACGACACACTTCTCATGGTGGAGGTTGCTGAGACAATGGAGGAAAAGTGAGGAAGATTTAGGTGTATTCGAAGGATATTGAGACATACAGGCATATATGTGCATTGTATGTGTGTATGGGCGTGTACGGGTGTTATTGACTCAGTTCAGGTCCCTTGTTTTTTTGTACTTGTGCCTGCCACTGTCGTCTTTGTTGACGTTCTTCAGGAGAATGAAGTGGGGCAACGGGTGACGGCGGAATATCCGGCTCTGTGCTTTTTTCCTTTCATATCTTTTTTTTTTGTGGTGGTGGTGGTAGTAGTGCTACCTTCGTTCTTTTTACCTTCATTGTGATAAGTTAAACTGAGACACAAAGCCGTTGGAGATGGCCACCGAAGATGGAATGAAGTTCGCGGTCAAGCTTCGCCTTGAGGACGAGAGCGACTTCGATCGGCTCTCGCAGGCCCTCTCGCTGCGGGTGAACAGTGACGAGGTTTACAAGGATTACTTCTTTGACTTTACCTCGCGGCGTCTGAGCCACAACAGTGGCGTGCTGCGGCTTCGCGTCCCGGTTGCTGGAACAGAAACGGCGGCAACGACTCTCCCTTCGCTGACGTTGAAGGAGCGGAATATCGTGGAGAGAGGGGATCAGATGTACACCGTCCATCAAGTACCTAATCTGCCCGAGGAAGTCAAGGAGGAGCTTCTCGCAGGCAAGCCCTTCATGGAGGTGCTGAGGCGATGTTGCCACTGTTTGAAGAAGGAACAGGCCGCCAAAATGAGCTCCATCATAAAAGGCTTGGAGGATTCGGAAAAGACCCCCGGCGCGGCGGGGCCCATTGAAATAGTGGACTCGCTGAAGTCACACCGCCGGGTATACGGTTGCGCCCTGGAGCCTCGCTCCGGGAATGTGGCGGGGGCTAATGAATATTCGGAGAGAACTGGAATTCACATGCTGGGCGGAACCATTCGCTTAGATGAGACGGACTTTCCCTTTGGAAAGAGGTACGAAATTGAGGTGGTGGACTTTAACTTTCCTGTCGGAGACGTCCGAAAGGAATTGGAGAGTTTCCTGCATTTACACAATATTAACTACAGTGAGAGTTTGGAAAGTAAATGCTCAACGTTCATGAAGTACTTGGAAGGCTTTCAGTCGCACTCTGAGGATATCGCGGGAGTGCTGCTCCGCATTTCGGGCGATGAGGGCTACGAGGAGGCTGTCAGGTGGTTAGAAAATAAGTGTAGCACCATCGCTTTAAATCCACAGACTGTGGGACTGACGCAGGGATCCACCTACCCGTCATCGCAGGCCGGCGCGGTCTGCAGTTACCTTTCAGGCCAGAGGGCATTGCCGATGTCCGCGCATAGCGGGCAGGACATCTTTTCGCAGTCGCTCCACCAATGTTCACAGCTCTCCTCAGAAAGAGAGATGAACCCTAACAGCAGCGTCGACGAACGGCAGAAGTGTGAAGATTATGAAGAGTATCAGGAAAACTTCTACTTTGATTCTTCGGATCGCATTTTGGACAGGCGTCGGTGCGAGATGGAGTTGCGCTACTCCTCACAGCGCCAAGCGTTTATGCTCTCCCTGAAGCAGAGCCAAAGCGTCGAGGACGGGTCTCAGAACGCCAACACACTTCGCGGTACACTCTCGGGCGACATGGCTCGAGAGCTGCTACGTTCTCCAACAAGGTTCCTGAAAGACAGGCGAAGGGACAACTGTGTCGCCGAAGCCCTTTGGGATGAGTTTAATATGCGTGAGTTGTTTGTATTGGGCTTCTGCCAAACCATGCGCCGTGGGTTTACGCGTCCTGTCACCGTGGACTCTCAGTTACGCTGCCTGCGAGAGAAGCGGCGGAGGCAGCCGTCAGACGACGACGACGTTGACCCTGAACCACAGCGGGGACGCCTGCAAACGGATCTGCCGCCGTTAACCATTCATTTGGACAATACACTGATTGGCCGCAAGGAGCTGCTCAAAAAGTATGTAGAAGACGCTGCCGAAAGCCCATCCTGCACGATTGCCAGCAGTCCGGCGCTCCCCAAAGGCAAGGATGAGAAGAGGGTATACGAGGTTGGGGTAAGTAAACTCCCTAAGGAGATCCAGCAGGCCGTGAAAAATTGGTTTCTTTCAAAAATGCATAAACTTGGGGTGGAGTGCGAGCTGGCCCGTCGCACAAAGCTGGAACAGTGCGTCGCTTCTCTGCCGAAGCAGTAGCGGAAGAGGGGTAGACATGTGTGAGTCATCATAATTGGTCGAATGTGGCCCCATACGTATTTAAGGAAATGCCAGAAAAGTACCCGCGCTGAGACAAAGGGATGCATATAGGTCTATTTATTTACTTTTTTTTTTGGTAAAGGCAAGTAATGGGAATCATTGAGGGGAGTTACTCCAAGCAGGTCGAGAGAAGGGAAAACAAGATCTCCTGGAGCACGCCGTCTGTGTGCGTGTGTGTTTCGATAGAGGGAGCGCCGGACGGGGGTGGATGAGGGAGAACGGAAAAACCGGAGGGACCAAAACTCCGCTATGTCGAGGTGAAACAGTAGCAGGAGAGGGATATAGGCAATAGCTGCGGAGACAGTGGTGAGCGGGCAGCTGTTCCGGGGCGCAAGCTCCCAAGCTCGGCACCTCTCTGCCAACGGGGTTGGTTGCTGCTTGTTAGTATAAACGAACTAATATATTCACCGAACTTAGTGTGCGCTTGACGTTTCTTGTGCCCAGCCTTTTTTTTCTGATATCTTTTAGGGCGTGTACGTCTCCCGTGTGTTGTATTTTCTTTTCTGCTCTATTCTGTTCTTCGTTTTTCTTTTTGATTTATTTGCCTCATTTCTGCGCGCCCACGCGGCGCCAAACAATACGCTTCACGGCAACCACAGTGGCTCGCACAGCTGCCGCGGAAATAGCAGAGCGGAAGGGCCCCGGTCAAGCACAAGTCGGACATTTCACGGATAAGTGAAGCCTAGAAAGGCTCTTGTCCCCGCTCTACCTACACACGAGGCAGAGGAAAAGAAAAACAACATAGGAAAGAAGCAAAGAGGAGCCCCATCTCCGCAAATAATGGGAGCACTGAAGAAAATGGCGTCCGTGACAAAGCACTCGGCTTCGAACACGGATTCACGGTTGCCGAAGCCTCGCAAGAATCTCGCCTCGCGCAAGATTCACACGGAGGGCCGCATTGTCGCCAAGAAGGAGTCGACCAGCGCTGGAACGAAGAAGAAGCACCGCTGGCGCCCCGGCACTGTCGTGATGCGCGAGGTGCGCCGGTATCAGAACACTACCGAATTCCTCATCGCGAAAGCCCCGTTTCGCCGCCTTGTGCGGGAGATTGTGTCCAACCTGAAGGAATCCCTCCGTATGAGTGCCACCTGCGTGGAGGCGCTGCAGGAGTCGACCGAGCTGTACGTCACCTCTGTGCTCGCGGACGCCAACCTCTGCACGCTGCACGCCAACCGCGTTACGGTGTACCCAAAGGACATTCAGCTGGCGTTGAAGTTACGTGGGGAGCGTTTGTAGTTCAGCTGGGGCGCGCATCACGTATATACATATATATATTTATATTTATACATATGTGCGTGCGTCTGTGTTTTAGAAAGGAGAAGTGCGTATCCAACGTTGTTGTGCACATTTTCAGCACGTGGCGCGGGAACGAAGAGGCTGGGGGAGGGAGGCAATCGAGCAAAAAAAAAGGAATTAAGAGGTTCGGGAAGACGCCGAGTTACATGAGTTCCACGCAAGCCGCGAACGAAGTCAACAAAGAAAGAAAAAAAAAGGAAAACGGGGAGATTTTTTTTTTGGGGAAAAAAAGAACAACAAATTGTGTTGTGTTTGTAGAAAAGAAGGGCAAGGGAAATTCAAGAAAGAAAAAATGTGCTTGCGACAGTCGCGGGGGAACTGGAACAAAAGAATACGAGCCGGTGAAAGTTGGAGACGAGGGATGTGGACAACAGCCAAACAGAAAAAATAAGAACGAAAAACGAAAAGGTGGATAGAGGACCCGGAATGGAGGCATACATGAGAGCGAGAGTGCTGTCCGTTGCCGTGGCGCACGTCAGCATTCACTCTTTTCGACCTCCCCAGAACGGAACATCGCGACGGCAAAAATACGTGACGCCTTTTCTGTGTGTGTGTGTGTGCTTTGGCCACGCTTACTATGATTTTTTTTCTCTCTCTCATGGCTTTCACTTTTTCATACGCTTTCATGCCTGCATTCCGGTGCACTCACTTCTTAATTTCCTCCTCACACCTTTTTTTTCTTTTTTCTGAGACAACGCATGGGTAACACGAGCAGTCGCAGTGTGGGCTGGATGCTAGAGAAGATGTATCTGCTTTGTATTTTTGCCTTGTCTCGACTGCTGCTACTATTTGTATTGCCACACCACAGCCTCTTCCAGGACGTTGGGGGAGGCCGGTGGTGGCTCCCTGGTAGTTGAGCATTCACTCGTCGCGGTGCCCTGCCACTCTTTATGTGTGCTATATTATGCCTCGTGTTGTGTTGTCTCTTAGCCCTCTTTTTCTTTTCTGATTGTCTTTTGCTTTTGCTTTTTCCTTCGCTGCCTCTCTCCGCCTTTGACCCCGTTGCCGCAAGGTGTGCTCGGGGAGAGTGGAAATAAAGGAAGGCGATCAAAGCAGCAAGGGTCCATTCACCGGGTAGAAAGGGCGAACAAATAACCGCAACAAAAAAAAAAGGAGGCAGGGCTGTGTGAGGTCCGCGTCTGAGGGTCTGTTTCAAAGGCAGCTGGAGCTCCGGTAGGAAATTTTTTTTTTTTGGGGGGGGGGTTCGAAACTACACGCGCCACGTGTTTTAGCAACTGTGTGTGTGTGTGAGTGCGTGGGCGTGTGTGTTTGTTTTTAGTTATTGTTGCTTCTGCTTTGTACGGAGGGAGTGGCTGGCGCGGGAGGCGATCATCGGGCGCCGACTTAGCAAGGGGCTGCTCTCCACAGTGGCGTGAAGCTCACCACGGCTGGCGATAGGGAGGAGGCGGCCAACAGGAGAGAAGGCGCCGGGAGGAGGGCACGTTGTGTTGCTCGCTTTGACCGTCGAGGAGGCGTCGGCAGGCATTCCTCCTAGAAGGCAGGCAACGCCGCAGGGGCGAAGCCGCGGGACGTTACCGATGCCACAGTCACTTTGGCCGCTTGCTGTCTCTGTGACATGCCTACTTGTCGTGGCAGGATGCGTCAGCGGCGAGCGAAAACCGCTCCGCTCCGCCGTTCTTCTGGACCTTCGAAGCACGAAGATGACGGAAGCGGCACTGGGAGCGGCAATCGACAAATACGTCGCAAACTCCAGTGGGGCTGTCGCCGAGGTTTTTTCGCAAAGGCCCCTCATCCTTAATTCGAATGGAAGCCTGCTATCCGCCCTGGTGGAAGTGGAGAAACTATTGTCCGATGAAAAGTCATTTATAGATGTTCTCTTCCTTGCGGAAACCGCAGACGTCTCCGTTGGCGTCAGTGACGCCTTGAAACGAAGCGGCAAGGCCCATTCTCTCACAATTCTCTCGGCACATACGTCAAACCCTAAATTGTGTGATGTGGAGGCTAATCCCAACACGCTGTGCCTTGTGCCGCGAGATTCCGTGAACGTGCGCGGTGTATTAGAGACCGTCTCCTCTGAGCTAGCGTGGGACTCCGTCGCCGTTGTATTTGGCAGTGATGCGTACGGAACGGGTGTGGAATCTGTTTTGGACACTCAAGTCGCACTTGCGCGTTCGGCCCCAACCGTTGTCGCGAAGGTGTTTATTAAAGCCAGTGGGACTGCGGATGACGATGACAATGTCATACGCAAGGTGCTTGAGTACCGTTCGGCTGGCATTCTTTGCTTCGTGGGTGAGGCCGGGTTTGTGCGTCTTCGTTCCGCGATTGCGCGTCTTGGAAAAGAGGATGAGCTCTTTTTGCTCGGATCGCACGAGGCAGTTAACGTGCTTGGCGTTTTGCAAGCCTCGCCGCACGCCCTTGGGAAGCTTTGGGGGGCGCTCTTTGTGCCGCGGTACACCTCCGTTGCAAACCTCGTCTCACATGCCTATTTTGATCTCCAGCACCTTGACGACCACGGTGCGTTTGTGGTGAGTCATTTGTTTGACGCTATGCAGGCCGTGGCGCTGGCGGCTGACACTTCAGCCACCGCAATCCGGTTGGGGCGCTTTGACGGATTTACCGGCACTGTCGCCTTTGACGCGATAACAGGTCAACGCGAGGAGATTGTCTATTCTCTCCTGAGCAAGACTTACACCGCAGATCGGCCACTCATCACATGGAGTCGTAATTCCAGTGCATCCAAGCCGGTCATCAGAAACTTCAATCCGCCGGAAACAAAAGCCATCATTTCGTCATCACCTCTGCGTGCGGTGACGGTCTGCATGGCTGCTGCGCCTAGTTGTTCTGAGGCAGAGTCTATTAACGCCATGACGTACGTATTCTTGCACCAGAACAACAAGACGAGTTCCGTGAAAGGGGCGACGACGTTCATTCCCTTGCTGCTTAATACAGGTCTGAGCGGGGTGGAGGGGTTGGCGTCGTTGATACCAGTGGCGCGTTCCTGCTCTGTGCTTCTGGGACCCGGACGCAGCCGCGTCGCACTGGCGCTCACGCCGGTGGTTAACCAATTTGCCATCACTCAGCTTGACTACAACACGGCGGAGGGGCTCTTTTCGGACCGGATACTGTATCCGTATTTCTCTCGCTCCACCCCGCAGAATGAGTTTAATTACATGACCTACGGGGAGGTGTGCGCCTATTTTGGCTGGGAGCGGGTGGTACTTGTGGGAATCAATGACCAGTTTGGAAATGCCCGTGTGGAGTCGATGCAGAAGTCTATGCGGCAGCGGAATATTCACGTGGAACAGTCTCACATGATTTCAACCACTGACAGGGAGCACCTCGTGGGCGTCATGGATACCATTTACAAGAAGGATATTGCCCGTGTTATTATTGTGCTTTTGCCCCTCTACGGTGATGACGCGAAGTTATTCTTTAACCTCTTCACGGAGCTAGGTTACATGAAGAAATATATCTTTTTTCTGGGGAACGAGCTCTGCCAATATGCTGCATCCCACCCAGACGACCGAAATAAGGCTCAGAGCTCTTTCTGTGTCTTTCCATACGTGTTACCGCGCTTGCTGGAGGGCATCAATACCGAAGCTGCACAAAGTGGTCTCCAGAAGGAACAGGTGCGGCTCCTGTCGCAAGGCGGCTTTGCCGCGGAAGTGGATCGCTGTAGCCTCACCACCATTCGCAACGGGGACGCGTTTGCGGTTGACGCGGCGTATACTGTTATTGACAGCGTCAATCGAGCCGTGAATGCAGGTGTGAGCCTTAACCGTAGCGCCAACCTTATTCAGTTTGTTCGAGCGACCTCGCTAGGTGGTTTGACAGGAAACTTTACCATTGACAAGACAGGGAATCGTGACGTGGCGTCGTTTGGCCTCGACATTCAAATGTTGAATCGCACCCTTTTCCTCGGAAGCTGGAACAGCAGGCAGTCGCCATCGTTTCGCTACAAAGCCACTGAGCCTATTGTCTGGATGACTGGCAGCACAGAGACCCCGGCAGACACCTTTCGCGATATTCAATTCATTCTGGGCACAACGGTCTCGGCGAGCCCAGGCGCCATTGTTCTCTCGGTGTTGGGATTTGTTGGCACCGTCGCAGTCTTTGCCTTCTGCTACCGCCACTACAAGCTGCAGAAACTTGTGGAACTTAGCCTTCAGAGCAATTGCGTTCCCGTTACGGAGGAGGAGATGCGGCGGCTGCGAGGGAGACGTTCACTGGAGCCTGGAGCCTAGCAAGACCACGGAGGGAATCCGCAACAGGAAGGCGTGCCCCCCTCCCGCCTTGCATACACACCGTCTCAGTTTGGTTCTTTTGGGGACTGCCCCCTTTCCTTTTTATTTCTTTCTTCAGGCGGTGGGCTGTACGTTGCTTTGTGTGTCTTTTTTTTTTTTTGTCTGTCGTCGTCGTCCCCGCTTTGTTGAGCACCCCTTCTTCCGCTCCTTCTATCCCTCTCTTGCCTGCTGCGACCTCTCCCTCTATTTTTTTTGTCTTCTTTTTCTTTCTCTTTTCCTTCACACACCCACTAATAATAATAATAATAACGCTAATGTTTATTTTTCACCTGCGTTTATTCGCGTCACCGTGACTACGTGTGGCCGTGCAACTCAGAAAGTAAAAAAGGGTAATATAAATAGCGGGTAGGAGGCGGCGGTGGTGGGGGAGCTTTTTTGTGCTTGTGGGAGTCCGGTGCGGTTGACAAGGCGTTGCCCACAAGAGGACTGCACGTTCCGCCGCCGGCTGCGCATTGGCGGGGGCAAGGGAGGAGCAAGCGGCGCGCGGGGCAAAAAGGCGCAGACGTACGCGGTGGTGAGGGGCGCGCCGACGGCACTCAGCGGGGCACGCAGGGAGTGAAATAAAGAGAGCGGCGACTTGCGCGCGGCCGACACACGCCCCGTCCCGGAGGAGGCACAAGTCGAAGACAGCGCACACACACATACAAAGGACAAAAACAAACACCGAAAGGGAATCAAGCGGGTAGGACACACACTCGCGCACTCACCCAAAACAGGGGCAACGGCAACGGCAGGAAGAGGAAGAAGAACAAGAACAATAATCGAAGTAAAAGGTGGAGGGGTGTGGGTGGGTGGGTGTGTGACTCGGCGCAATGTCGCTTTTTCGCACTGATGATCGCTCCTCTCTCTTCCTTACTGTGCCAGAGGTGCCGCAGCATCTCCAGAAGCGTCTAGAGGATTTCGTCTCACGGTCGCGTCAGGGCCACGCTGATAACTACACGTCCTACAGTTTCCCACTGGATGTTCCCATCACGATGTCTGATGTCGAGCGGTGGGGCCACCGCCTTGAGGATAGTGCCCCGCCTCCGGCGGCACCGAACGCGGCATTTGTGGGTGGTGGCTTCATGGATCCAGCGGCTGTGATTTCTATGGGTGAGGGAGTCGAGCGGGAGCGTGCCGTGCACAAACTCGCCCCGATGAAATTATTTGACCCGAGGCGGGTGGATCGTACGCCCATGACAAAAATTCTCATGCACAGACGCACGTGGTTGCCGTACCGTCAGCGATTGCCAGTGTATCAGTGCCGTGGGCCTATCCTTGATGCCCTGCGCAGTAGCCAAGTCCTGGCGCTTGTGGCCTTCCCCGGCAGCGGTCGCACGCTGCAGATGCCGCAGATTATATCGGAGACAGAGATTTTTAAGAGCAAGCGTCTAATTGTTGTGTGCTCGACGAGTCTTTCAGCCTGCCGCACAGCTGAGCGATTGCGGGAGGAGCGTGGCGAGGCCGCCACCTCCAACGTGGTGGCTGTATGTGCACCCACTCGCTACGAGGTGGCGGAGGGGACACTGATCGCGGTAACCACGCCTGAGATGCTCGTCCGTCAGTTGTTGTGCGATCCTTTACTACTCAACGTTGCTTGTGTCATTCTGAACGATGCACATTTGCGATCACCCACTACAGAGCTGTGTATGTCGCTGCTGCGCAGTGCATTACGGGTGCTAAAGGAGGAACACGGCGTAAAAAAACGTGGTGGGTCTTTGCATGTTGTAGTGGATTGTTTTGAGGATACCACTGCCGCGGCCATTGCCGAATTCTTTGGTAAGGAGTACACTGTCCGCTTAAATGTTTCTCAGGTGTTGCAGGAGGACCTCAAGGCATCTGCTACGGAGTCGCAGCAGATCAGCCAAACGTGGTCTCCCCCGAGTGTGATGCTGCTTGAGGAGACCATGCAGTGGCTTGCGAAGTGTGAGGAGGAGGGTAGCTGCATTTGCCGCGACCCGGGAGAGGAACTTCGCAACTACGTGGAGAACATCGGTGTGGTGGCGAAGATTATGGCGGCTGAGGAGGCGGAGTTTACAAATAACGAAAAACTCCGATCCTACTGGTGCCCAATCATTGTGCAGGCTGTGAGGCACTACGACCGTGCGGATCGCGAAGAATCGCTGAGGCGTGGCGAACAACGGCAGCAACAAAGCCAAAAGAAACTTCTTCCCGCCGTTGTAGTCGTCGTTCCAAACGCCTACATCGCCTCGGTAGTTGAAGAGGTGCTTCGTCGCGCGATAATTGACACCGCAGTTAACGCCGAAGAGGATACCGCACCCGCATTTTCGTTGCACCTCCTGCTGGATGCTGCCACGATGCAGGACGTGGAGGGTGTGCTGCGCTCCGGCGACGCTGCGAAGAGCGAAGGAAGGCGATTGGTGCTCCTAACGACGCCCACCATGGTACACTCGGCTCTCCCACCAACGTGGGAAATAGGCCTTGTGGTGGATTGCGCACGACGGTCCTACGCGGCGTACGATGACACTGCGGACGCCGACGTCTATGTCACCACCTACAGTCGCGTGCAGGAGCTACGCTACCGCCGAACGATTGCCCGTCTTCGCCGGGGCGAGGGCGGTAAAGGTGAGCAGGACGCTGCTCAGTCACCCATGTGCATGGTGGTTCAACTAATTCCCAAATCCATCCTCTACGGCACTAAACATCGTCACATCAGTGTGGATCCTGGTCACCACGCCATCTTTAATATGAGCTGGGGCGAGTACGTGCACCTCTATCACCTCCTGCAAGCACGAGAGGAGGGGCTGCGTTGCCGGGAATCGAGCACAGTGGCTGCAAATTCAGGGAATAATTATACCTTGTCCTCGGTGTTGGCGAACCTGATCCCTGCCACCTTCATCGGTGTACCTAATGCATCCACAAGCCGCTATGAAAAGCTGCGTCGTACCTTCGCGGCGGTCGAGCTGCACCTTCAGCGACTGGGGCATTTGGAGTGTGCAACGGCCGACTCCGCCCCACGATTATCGCCACTCGGTGTGGCTGCCACCTGCTTTGCGTGGCCCCTTGAGGTTGTGCGCCTTTTGCTTTTCTCGCGACTCGACGACTGCGTCTTGCCGGCGAGTGTTATTGCGGCAACGTGGATGGTGGGCAATATGTTCTTCGACGGCGTGGCGGACAAGGAGACAGAAGAGTTAATGAAGGAGGCCCGGGTTTTCTTCTCGCATGACTCTGGCAGTGATGTGGTGAGTGTATTTAACGCCTACCACACCTGGCTCTGCTCGCGCAAAGTCTCCAGTGAGGCCCACGACGCCTTTTTGGAGGACACTTTAACCTCGGAGCGGGCGTTGATGCAGATTGAGGCTCAACACCTATCGCTGCTGCGCGTACTCGAGACAACCGGGGTTTTCCGACTGCCTTCAATCTGTAAGCGGTCGTGCGGCAACGGAGACGACGCGGCGGCTGCGCAGATCGCAACAGCAACGAATAGCGTCAAGACGACTAGTAGTGCTGCAACTAGCATAGATGCGGCTACCGTGGCGTCCCGCATCCTTGAAATACCGGTGGAGGACTTGCGCGAAGGAGAAATGATCCTTCGTTGCGTGACGGCTGCAGCGTATCCGTCCTGCGCCGTTCCACATCGCGATGGAGTCGTGTCGAAAATTGGCTTTACAGACAAGATGATAACTTCAACGGTGCCTGGTTCCAGCGCGGTCGCCTCTCGAACGATCCTGCAGCCGGCCATCTTCTCACCTAGGTCCGTGATGAGCGTGGAGGAGGTGTATCACCGTCACGCGGAGCGACCGTTCCTGTATTTGGACCGCACACGCGTCGCGGATAAAGGGTTTTACGTCTTGGAGGAGGCAATACCACTCGCCACGGATGCCGCTGTTGTTGCCTGCGGCAATTGGCACGAGTGGCCAAAGTCACCGGCAACACGCTGTCGTGGATGGACCTCGGTATTAACACATGCCTGGCGGCAAACCAAACTTGCTCGGTCTTTGCCTCCTCCCGCCCAGCTGCCTGCAGTTTCTGTACGACTAAGACCGTACGACACGGTTCAGGCGCAGCCGGTCCTTGTGCAGACCGATGATACCTTTTCTTTCAGTATGCGGTCAACAACGGCAAGATGGCTGCAGCAGATGCGGGAGCAAAGCCGTCGGCGACTGCGCGCACTGCTCTGTGATAAGTCATGGCCAGCAAGCAGCGATGCGCCACTTGGGCTGAAGGAGGCCTGGGAATGGTGGTCGAGGCGGGGGCATGGGGCTCAAGATTGGCTGCGAGAAGAGCGTGCCAGCCACACTGCGTCAAACAGTGATGTCGCAAACTCTGCTGAGGCATTGCTGTGTCCGTATTTTCAGTACAGTTCCAATCCAGGACGACCGACTGCAGTGGTGCCTTCGAGGAGGCACACCAGCTCTGCAATGGCATTGCCTTTTGCTGCGGTTTCTTCGTCAGCCGCCACAGCTGCTGCCACCGCCGGCGGTGGTGGTGTTTCCTTAGCTGCAGCCTCCGATACAGCCGGGAGGCAACCGACGGCCTACGTTGGCAAGCTGCCCGACCCTGTGATGGATAAAAACATTCAGCATGTGGCACAAAGCATAGCCAAGGCCCGCTCCCGTGAGCAAGAGGCCACCTTTTTGAAGATGTACCCCGACTTATTCGCCTTTCTGCACCCTGAGCATGAGTTTCATGGCTACTACCTTCACGTGTTGCGGCGCATAGACCCGGAATTAGAGATCCTTGGCGACGACTTGGAGGAGCTTGAAAAATTCCTCAAGGAACTGGAAGAGGAGGTGCAGCGGGAGGTCGGCATCACGGCAACCGGCGTCGCTCCCTCCTACGAGGCGCAGCCCTATACTGCCGCCCCCGCAGTAGATGATTCAATTGGCAATGCGCAATATCAATTTCAGGAGGTGAAGGCGGAGGAGGAGTATATGACGTCGTACGGTATGCAGGTGGAAACAGCTGCAGAACATGCAAGGCGGCCGCCGGCGTTATTTAAAATGCATGATGGGCGTATGTCTGGGCCATCGGCGGTGGATGAAGCAAAGTCGGCAAAAAGCGTGCTGGGAGCAGCGGGCGAGGAAGCTCCCACAGCGTCCTCTTTCTTCACTCAACCCACTGCGCCTGTGAATGTAGCTGCATCTACTGTGCCCCAGGACAGGCCTCTAGATATTGCACCGCTGAAAAAACCCATTCCGGTGGACCCCAATGCCTCCATTGGGAACTTTACATTTGATAGAGGACCAAAGACGGAGGCCCCGGCTTTGCACGGTAGCGAGGCTGCTGAGGGCAATGGAGAAACGGGCGGTGCCGGTGGTGGACTGACGCTGATGGAGCGTCTGTTGGCAATGAAAGGAGGCACGTCCGCGCCAGTGGAGCACACAGCTGCGCCGGTAACAGTTTCTGCCCCGGTGGAGCATTTGCCACGGCAGATACCCGCAGCTCAGACGACGCCCTCCGTGAGTGTTGGAGTGTGGCCTGCCACAACGCTTCCACCTCCTCCGTCACCGGTGCCAAATCTCGCCGCTGCCGCGTCTGCGGTTGGTGTGCCGGTGGGAGCAGCCTCGCAGGAAGCGCCCGTGGCCGCAGCAGCTGCTGCTGTTGCCGCACCAAGCGCCCCTACTGCAGCCGAATTGCTCGCGTTGATGGGCATACTCTCTCCCGCGCCAGCCGTAAATCCACTCACCATCCCCCCACCGCCGCTTCCCGCGGAGGTTGTGGCCAACCGCCCTCCATCCATCCTTGCCTACCCGCTGCCATCTCGTGAGTTTGGCAACATTCCCCTTATCCTCGCAAAGGCGCTGGGAGAGACAATGGGTGTGAAGGTGGGGCCCACACGCATCATTGGCGCAATCGCACGTATCGATGTGCCCAACCACAAGGTGGAGGCGCGGGCACTGGATCTCAAGTCCTTCACCTGTGTGGGAAGGAAGGTGAATATTTTTAAAAATGATCGTATTATTGACGGCGTGCGCCCAGCTGTTCCTAAAGGACAGCCGGCAAAGCCGACACTGCACGAGGAAGTGGCGGGCCAGCCTCGCGAGACGGACTACAGCCCCGAAGGAGCGAAGAACGAGGACGAGCACGGTAATGGGAGGAGTCACGCGAAGCCGCCGCTGCAAGAGGCAAACAACGAGGGCGGGTCTGTCTTCTTGCACTACCCTCAGTGTTTGCCGCAGGACGAGCGACGCGAGCACCCGGCGGAGGAACCAGCGGTGCCAAAGAAGTTGTCTCACCCGCTGCAGATTGGCATCCTAACCGACTCGGAGGATGACGAGGATTCCTCCGCCAGCGCCCACTCCTCCGAGGCAGTCGGGCCATGAAACAGTCTCCACATTGGAGAGAGAGACGCAGGGAAATATTCCCTTTTAAGCCTTAAAAAAAAAACTGAGAACAAAAAACATGGAAAGGGGGAGGAGAAAAAAAACGCGGGGAAGAAGAGTAAATGAATAAAAAATTACGAGGCGGAGTTTCCAAGAGGCCTACAGCAGGCACAAGACCACAGTCACCTTCACTGGGTGGGCAGAAGAAGCGAGCGCGAAAGGAAAAGGAAAGCGGTGACGAACGGCGGGAGGAGAGAGGCTGTGGGGCGGAAATCCTTGCCGTGGAGGTAGACGTTTTGTGGCTGGGGAAAGTAGAGGGAGACGAACGCAAACGAAGCTGGAACGTAATTCTAATAAGCGGAGACAGAGACGAAGGCATTGTAATGATTTAATCGAACCCAGATCTATTTCCGCCGCTGCTGCTGCTTCCACTGCCGGCGTTGTCACCGTGGCAGCCCTCGGCGCTCCCCTCCCTTTCTCTCCCTGCCTCCCCCCCGCACACACACACACACATAACCAAAGGAAAAGTATGGGTCTTTGCCCTTCACAGTTTTAGACCTCTCCTTCGTCTCCATTTCGCTTTGCTTTGCCTTCTTCTTCTTTCGCATGCTTTTGTTTCTTCGTTTTTTTTTCAGTTGTGAGGATTGCACCATGAAGACCACCTAAGTGCTACCCATGCAGGAGGGGGAGGGGGTGCTCTGGGGCCGCCGCAACACGCGCCTTCTGTCCCCACTCACATCCTACCATTCCTTTCCATTTGGATTCCCTCCTCGCCTCAGTTGTCTGATGTTGTTTGCTGCGGTTGCCGTTTCCCTTTCTTCTTCATTTCACTTGTAGCGAGTGCGAAGGGCACGGTTCCTCCAATCATACGCATCCGGGCAGTGATGAGTCACGGCAGCAAAGTGCAGATTGGCTGTGATAAGGCATTGCACACAGAGACCTTCAGTGCGCCCAGCACGCATGGTTCTGGAAAGGCGGCGATGCCGCCGACGGCTTTGCCGGATATGCCGAGGATATCGAACATCAAGATCACCTCGGCCGTGGTGAATTTGCCGGGGCGACAGGTGCAAGTGAAGGCCGAGGAGCCCAGTAGGAACCTCAGCGCAAACGAGGAAGAGGCCGAGGGGAATAGCAGTGTTTCGATGGCAGAGTCCACTCATAACACCTCCACTACCCGACGTGTTGAGACCATGACATTTGACGTGGAACGCATCAGCCCGCCGATTGCGAACATGTTTCGTCGGCTGATGATGACGGAGGTCCCAGTCCTCGCGTTTGACCGCATCCTCATTGAGGAAAATGATAGCGTGGTGCCGGATGAAATTCTTGCCCATCGCATCGGCCTCGTTCCGGTTGCTGGCCCTGTGTTAAAGATGCAGTTTGTAACAGAATCCAGTCAGGTAGGCTTCGACGCACTTGACCCCCAGCGTGTGTTGGTGTTTGAACTCGCCGCCGAGGGACGTCGTGACACAAAGACGACGAACGTCTACAGCGGCGACCTCAAGTGGGCGCCACTGCCAGGGCAGGAGGCGTGGGCGACGGCTGCCGACGAAGACCGTGTCTTTCTAGTCCATCCGGACATCATTCTAACAAAGCTAGGGCCCGGACAGCGTTTAAAGCTGCGGGTGATTGCGCTGAAGGGCATTGGTGGGGTTCACGCGAAGTGGACCCCAGCCTCTGCATGCTTTTACGAGCTCAAGACGAGCATTCATTTGCGCGAGCCGGTGGTTGGGGAGTGTGCGTCAACGTTGCAACGCATTTGCCCGGCGGGTGTCTTTGGCGTGAACGAGGAGGGTGAGGCGGAGGTGGTGGAGGTGGAGAACTGCACGCTGTGCCGCGAGTGCCTCCGCCGTGACGTCTACCCGGGCATTGCCGACAAGGTTGTCTTGGAGAAGGACAAAACCCGCATGCGGTTTACCATTGAGAGCATCGGGCAGCTGCACGCCTCGCAGATCTTCCGGTACGCCCTCACTTTGTTCGCCGAGCGCGCTCGTGACTTGGCCGGGCGTATTCGCGGCACGGAGGCCATTCTCACTGGGGCCGCCGCCGGAATTCCGGCCGTGTAGCCAGACGAAATCAACTGAAATGAAGACCCCTCCCGCCATAAAAAAAGCGAAAAAAGACATGAACGTCAAAAAAAAAAGAGTGGTTGGGGAAAAAAACAACAACAACAGAAACAGGAACTGCAGTGAGAAGAAAAGGGGTGCGCGAATGGGAACTCAACAACAAAACTAAAAGAAAAAGAAAAGGCAAAACAAGGTGTGTGAGGGAAGAAGGCGGAGTGTGTGGGATTCAGGACGGCGAAGTTGGCGTGAGCGGGAACCAAAAAAGAAAAAGAAAAAAGGGATATGCGGCGGCCGACGCATTGGTGCCTACTACCCATCCTGTTTACTCCTCCTCAGCCTCTGTCGCTCACTGTACGCGCGGTAGAAGTTATTACTTTCTCCCGTGCATCCGCCAATTTTTTTTTTAATTCTTCCGGGCCTATTCACAAGCTTTTCTTTCTTTCTCGCTGTGTGTCTTCCGCTACTCACTCGTATAAAATATTAATCAGGTTCTACACACGTGTTTCTCTCCATCCCAGATCTCTCCGCTAATACACGCACATGCATGCCGAATCGATGTCTACGTGTCTGTGCGTTGCTGCATTTTCCTCTCGCTACGCGGGTCTCCAAATGTTGGACGGTTTAAGCTGAATTTAAGGGAAGCCAAAAACAAAACAAAAAAAAGAATCTCGTGAAAATTCTTCATTTACTCCCTTTTTTTCTTTCTCTCTCTCTCTCTTTTTGTTCCGTTTTGTGGCCTTTTCTATTGGTGTGCCGCTGCTGCTCACTGCTCGTCATTTCAGTCACCGCGGCATTTCCTCTCGTCGTGTGTGTCGCACTGGCATAAGTTTGCGCTTACACTCCGGCAAAGACAGTTGTCGCGGTCAATACTTAACAGCAGCGGGGGCGCACACATCTGGCAGGTGAGAAGCGGGGCATTAGAAGACAGCGGTGGAAGGCCATGACACGGGGCAAGGGACGCAACCCAGGGGTGGGCAACCTGGACAAGCACATCAAGCGGACGACACACAAGGAACGCTCACAGCCGGCCTCGCGCAAGCACCTAGGGCAGCTAGAGAAGCACAGGGACCATGTCGTGCGCTCAAGGCGTCGGAAGGCGAAGGTGCAGAGGCTACTGCAGTTGAAGCGGGCCGCGTCTCAGCGTAACCCGGACGAGTTTCACATTGGCATGACAAAAGCCGTCTTAGATATCGCCTCGGGAAAAATGAAACAAAGACAGGCGTCAGATAAAGGAAATCAGCAGAAAACGCAAAAAATGCTGCAGCAGAATGCACGCAATGTTCAGTACCTCCAATACAAGGCACAGGCGGACCTGCACCGCGCCAAGGAACTCCTTAACGAGGATGCGTCAATAGCCATTACCTCCGCACCACCGCAGAACAAGCATATTGTCTTTGTAGAGACTGACGAGGAATTCCGTCGCTTTAACCCGGTCAAGTACTTTGATGCCACCCCAGAGATGCTGAAGCAGCACCCCGCCGTCCGCGGGACAATCTCGATTCTGCAGAACACCGTCTTGCCAGAGGAGGTGCTGTTAACGGGCCCGCGGATGCTTTCCTCCGCCCAGCGCCGCCGGGAGCGTCGGGAAATGCAGGAAAAACTCCGCAAGAGTGGCCTCAAAACCTCGCAAGAGCGTGAAGCTCTGGTGGAGCGACTTCGCGCCAAGAAGGAGCTGAAGAAGTACCGCTTTTCTTCCCTTGTGGAGGAGGCCGCGGCGGCAGGCGGCAGTGGTGACGGCGATGAGGAGCCACGCGACGACGTGGAACACATTTTGCAGCAGAGGCGCGCGAAGGAGCAGCAGGAGGCGGCGTTAGCGGCAAGGAACATGAAGGAGATTCAGCAACGCGTGGAACGCAGCAAAAGCCTTAACGCCTTGGCCAAAACGCTCAAGCGCCAGAATGAGGGTCTGCGAAAAAGCCTGCAGCAAAAGCGTGAATCGCGATTTAAGCCAACAGCCGCACGTCGCTCCCGCTGAGTCCGCGGGTGCAGTAATTGAGGGCAAAAGATTCATGACTGCCGCGAAGGATCCCCACAAAAAGGAACCGTGCCATCCACGCACGCCAGAAACAGACAAACCAAGAGAGCGAGAAAGAGAGAAAGAGATAAAGGGAAGATGAGGGATATTCCCTGCTTTCACAGTCGCTTAACATTTTCACCGCCGTGATGATAAAGGCAGTGTAAATAACATTTGTAGTGTCCACCTTTGAGAGGGGAAAAGCTAAGGCAAAGAAAAAAAAGCCGAGAAAAAAACGTATGTATTCCAGGAAGGCATGGAATGCACGTCTGTCTCTCGCTTATACATATAAATACACACAGGGACGTTCAGTCATTGCTTGTTGACCGCCGTGTGTGTGAGAACCACTTTGCATCTCCTTGCGTTTCTCTTCCCGTGTTGCTCTACAAGAAGGAGTTGCAGCAGAGAGTAACGAGTAGAGTTGTCGTTGAAGGAGGAGAAGAGGCGAGTGTCCCGCGTTATTTTCCACAGTAAAAGCAAATCTATCCGGCGAAGGCGAAGGAGGCAATAACAAAGAGGGGGGAAAAAAAGTATTTGACGTTTGCCGTAAATATATTTATTTTTTTCCTTTAATTGTTAATTCTTGTTTTGCGCCGGTTTCTTTGTAGTTGGTAGTCTTCCTTTTGTACAAGAGCTTGGCGCCGAGCAAAGGTACAAGGAAAACCGTACTGTAGCGTGCTGTGTAGCCTGGCGGCATTGCATATATATATATACACACACACACACACACACAAAGAAGAAAGTCGTTTTGGCATACACGCATATATAAACTTATATCTAAGAAAAAAGAATTCCAGAGGCGAACTCTCATCATACATATATATATATATATAAACACACACACACGCACAGCCCCAAGCCATGCCAGGTTACTCCCCCACACACTCCACCCCCACCTCTGGGCGCCTGGTGTCGACACCGAGAGTGAAAGACACTGAGTTTCGACGTGTGCATTCCTCCAGGTCTCTCCTCGCGCCACAGCGCTCCGCGCTGGAAGCTGCCCAGGCGCAGGGAAACGCCATGAAGGTGTATGTGCGTGTTCGGCCATTTAGTGAGCGGGAGTTGTCCTTGAACCTGCCACAACACAGTACGGTACGAATTGATGTTGACAACCCATGCTTCATTACGTTGTTGGACCCCCAGAAGGATTTTAGACCTCGCGAAACGTTTAGCTTCACGCGTTGTTTTTGGTCTGTTTTGGAGCAAGGCTACGGCGACGGCGGCAAAGGCATGAGCGCTGAAGAAATACGTGGGTCTATTGACACGTTTGTCAATCGCCCCGCCTCCGCCCGGGGCAATCGGAGTCGGGCAAACATGAATGCGAGCACCTCTAACATCAGCGTTGCCTCTGCCCGCGGACGCCCAGCGGCTGAGTCTTCCATCTCGTTTGAGGGTGCAGGGTCAAGAGCGGGGATTGTTGCAAGGGCTGTAGTTGTCCACCCACCCTACAGTTCGCAGGAGGATGTTTACAATGCGGTTGGGCGCCCGGTGTTGGAGAATAGCTTGGAGGGCTACAATGGGTGCGTCTTTGCGTACGGGCAGACTGGCAGTGGGAAGACGTTCTCCATGTTTGGCTACTTTCCAATGAAGACTGACTTTACTGCTGGTGGTAGGCGGCAGAGTTTTGCGAACGACGACGACGACGACGAGGACGAGTGTGAGGGCTCTAAGCTGTCTATTAGTACGGTGTCTCCCGCGCGCTTTACTCGCATAACTGCGCTCAGCAGCCAGAGCAGCCAAAAGGAACTTTGTCCCCTGCAGCTGAGCACCCAAGGAAACACGGAGCGTCAGATTGTCGACGTCGTTGACACGACGCAGCTGAACCCTAATGAGCTGCAGGGCATCATTCCCCGCATCATGTCAGACCTCTTTAAAGGATTGCACGAGAAAAGGGATAGGGACCCTTCACACTCGTACCGGGTTGAGTTGGAGTATTATGAGATCTACAATGAAAAGGTGTTTGATTTGTTTCGTCCGCAAAAAGACGCCGATTTAAGGATTCGCCACAACCCTGTCACTGGACCATACGTGGAGGGACTCACCTCGATGGTGGTTAACAACGAGGCACAAATTGCAAAGTTGATTCGTAAAGGAAGCATGGAAAGACGCACGGCGGCCACAAAGGTCAATGATCGCAGCAGCCGCAGTCATGCCATTATTACGTTGAATATTATGCAGCTGTACCTTGACAAGGGCGATAACACCTGCAATCAGCAAAGCAAGTTGAACCTCGTGGACCTCGCCGGCTCCGAGCGCACCGGCGCCGTTGGCGCGGAGGGCCAGCAATTCCTGGAGGGCACCAAGATTAATTTCTCCCTCACAACCTTGGGACGTGTCATTGACTGTCTGGCAGATCTCTCGCAGTCCAAGTCGCTCTCTGTGCCCGTGCCCTACCGCGACTCCAACCTCACGTGGCTACTGATGGACTCGCTTGGAGGAAACAGCAAGACCTCCATGTTGGCCACCATCTCACCTCACTGTGTGAATTTTGAGGAAATGCGACAGACCATACGCTACGCCTCGCGCGCAAAACAAATTGTCAACAAGGCAGTTATCAATGAAGACCCACAAGTGCGTCAAATCCGTCTCTTGACGGCCGAAGTAGAGCGTCTAAAAAAGACTATACGCGAGGCTGGACTCAATGAATTTAGCCGTGACTACGTCGTGGAGTTGCAGCATCGTAATGCCTATTTGGAGAAACGCTGCCAGGACCAGGAAAAGACAATTGTGGAGCTTCAGGCTGAAATTGAAGAGTATGGACTTAGTGCCCGAATGGAGAATCCGAGTGCAGGCTCAGCTAGGCGCCAACGCCCCAGTCACGTGTCAGAAACGGGTTCTCGCCGACGTTCGAGCTGCTTTGAGGACGACGGAAATGCACTGCTGCTCAGGACACGGCATGCCGACGCCGAAGACGCTCGTCCCCGAGCCAATGAGGGGGAACAAAATAAACGATCTGGCACTTCCAGCAACACGGCTCAATTGGAAGAGCTGAATATCCGTATTCAAAATCTCAAGAAGGAGGTGAATAAACAGCAGAAAGTTATTGTAAATCAGCAGCAGCAACTGGAACTTTACTCCTTCTTTTATGCCGACTGGGCGTCGGACCTTATGTACACCGTGATGGTGCAAAAGGAGGAGGAGTTCATACGGCGTGTGACTCGCTCTGTTATTGACAAAAGCGCCCACCTGAGCATGGACGTGCGCCGTCTTCAGGAGTCGCATCGGAACGAAATTGAACAAACGAGGAGGCAGCATGCGGACGAGGTGGAGGAGTTGCAAAAGTTGTCCGCGGCTCGACTAAAGGAGTCCATTGAGAAGAGCAATGAATTGTACCAGCAGCTCATTGACAAGCATGTGGACAAGTTAAACTACGTAGAGGAACGGATGAAGAAGAACAAGGAGAACTACGAATCTGAACGGAAAAAACTCGCGGAAGAGAAAGGGGAGGTGCGTGCGAGCTACGAAGAACAGCTGCAAAAGACGCGCTCTCAACATCAGCAGGAAACAAGACGGTTACGTGACCAGTTGAGCTCCAGCACATCGGATTCCAAACGCTTAGAGGAAACCGTCAAGCGTTTACAGGAGAACCATGAGAGGGAGTTGACACGGCGACAGGAGGAAATGGACCGCTACCGCCGGGAAAAGGAGCAGGATATTTCTCGACTGAAGCAGCAAATTGGCAATGAGTCCCAACGGCAAGAAAGTGACATGGCTGAGAAGGAGAGGCAACGCCGTTTATTGGAACGTGAGGTAACTGATTTGCGGAGAGACTTGCTCAAGGCGCAGGCAGAGCGGAATCGCATGGAGTACCAGCATCAAACAGAGATGCAAAACCTTGCCCAAGAGCAGGAGCGGCTTGTGACTGTTAGTAATGGTTTGCTTTGTGACTGGGACAACCGTTCCTCTGCGATAGACGCCTCCTTTGCTCAGCTGCGGACATTGGTCCAAGGTAAGGACTACATGAGCTTCCGAAGCCGTCTCCGCGACACGACTGGGGAGCGAAAGGACTATACCGCGTTGCTTGAGGCTGTGGAGGAGCGGAAGCAACGTGACACGCAGCGTTTCCGGGAGATTGTGCAGCAGCTGAAGCAGACGCAAGAGGACAGCAACGCGAGCCTCCAGCGTTTTAGGGAGGACGTTCAGAATGAACTTGTCCACACAAATAGGCTACGCAGTAATAATGTTGGTAAGAATAATACTAGTAGCAATGATACTGTTGGTGTTGTCGATAAAAAAGGCTCCGGCACGGGCAGGGCAAAGGCGACAACTACCGCTGACTCCGCCGCAAATGTGCGGAAGCAGGAGCGCTCGTCAGTGGCGCAAAAAGGAGCACCAAAGTAGTTGGCAACAACGGCCTTTGCCGATTGACAGGTGTGCGAACATGCAAACGCAAAAAAAAAAACAAACGGAGAAACGAATGAGATAAATATAAATGCATTTATACGTCTTGTTATTTCATTTACTTATGTTTTTTTTTTCCTCTCTTTACTTTCTTTCGGCAGCACGCACCTTGGCCTTTTGATTCTCTTAGCAGGTGTCGGGACTTAGGCTGAGGGAGAATTTCTGGGGATGCGTGTACCAGGAAGTGAGAGCGAGAGAGAAAAATAGGTATAGAACACCAAAGCGAAGAACAAGTTCAAATGAGGCGGATAATAGGCGAGAGGAATATAGTATCATCCTGTGCATGAATGCAAAATTGACAACGGCGACGTCTGCGCGCGGTTTTTTTTTCTTCTTCCTATTCTCCTTTATGTACAGGCGTTCAGATTTCCTGTTTTTTTTCTTTTCTTCATCTTTTTCCTTGAAAAACAAATGTTCTGCCTTCGACGGAAAAGTTTCTCCAACACCTACCGCTCCGTTTTTCTTTTTTTCGTCCTTTTCTTGTTGTATTTGATGGCGTGCGTTTTCTGCCTTGTGTGCTTGAATTTTTTTTTTTTTTTGGGGGGGGGGGGTTCTCCGTCCGTGCCGTTACGCGTCAGGCCTGTTACAGTTTACAACGACTGTTATTGTTATTGCTGTTGGATTCATTTGTGGTTGCCGCGTTTGTTCGTTTGCTTTTTGTTTTTTTGCTCCCTTCCGCGTGTGGTGCGGCCCCGGCCACGCTCTAGACGCTGATGAGCGGGAGCCACAGTGGGGAAGGGGGGTGGGGCGGCGGATTAAAACGGGGGAGGTGACGGAGGGGCGAAGCGAGGAGGCGCTGCGCTTCGGTGTAGGGGAACCAACGAGAAGAAAACGAAGAATAGACGTCTGGAAGAGGAAGGCTAGGAGTACGGAAAGGGGAGTGGGGGACATGCACGTAGGGTGACTCTGGAAAGTGTGCTTGAAGCACGCGGTGGGGTGCGTTTCTCCCCTCCAGCCTTTCCTTTGCGCCTATTCTGTTGCCTTTCCTCCTCTCCCGCACGCAATGCTAATCGACTTGCTTAAACTTTCCACGACGTGCAGAATGCGTAAAGCGGCGGAAACATTTACTTCGCTTCTTTTGTGTGTGTGTGTGTGTCTGCATGTGTGTGCTACGACGTCTTGCGATTCTACTTTTTCACTTCGCATTTGCCGCGAGGATGAGGCGAACCACGTTTGGGTCTATTTCTCTTGTATTGGTTTTTAGGCTGTGTGTCTCTAGATGGTCGCTGAATACAAGACAGCGGCAACAACAACGGTGGAATGCAATAAACCCAGTGTCATGGGTAGCTAAGTCTTTTTATAACTTGCTGCTACCAGTATCTGTTCTTTGATTGCACTTCATCTCTTCCAATGAAATTTCTTTTTATACTTGTGTTTTTTTTCCTTGTCTTAAAACTTTTTTTTTTGATTGGTTCACTTTCTCTGAGTGCATGATAACGGCCCCGCCCATTTTTTTTGCAAATACATGCATATAAATTTGTAATATTTAGAGTGCGCATGTGTGTGCATGAATTGGGTGGGGCGGTTCCTGAGGGTAAAAGCAAGGTGAGTAGCTTTCCCTCCTTTTTGCTTCCCCTTCTTGTGTGGGTTGGCGGCAGTCCGTTGCCGCAAGTTGGATGCCCACGATGACACGAAGACATTAGTGGAAGAATTGCAGGGAGTGCAGAGAAAGGGCCAAGGCTTGTATCGGCCAAAGAGAAGGCGCGCGTGAAACGGAAAATAACAACGGCCCTTGCTTTTTGTAGTTTTTTTTTTACCTCCTTCTTCTTCCAGTTACTGTTGTTTCCCTCCACTTCCCCTGTCGGTTTTTTTTTGTGTTTGTCTGTCCCTCCGTTGCCTTTTTCCCTCATCCAACTTTGTTTCCTGCAGCCTGCAGTCCACTTACTTTCTAACCATGCGGCCTTCCTGCGGGTGCCGCTCTGCACGCCACCTCCGCCTCCATGTCACTCTCCCAACTCGTTCTTCTCCTATCGCCGTCTCTCTTTTCTTGTTTTGTTTTGTTTTCTTCTTTCGTGTGTGTGTGTGTGTATATATGTGTGGCAGGCCGTAGGGACTTAACACATCGACTTAGACCGCTTGTTTTTATTGTTTATTGTTTATTCCTTGTTTGTTGCTGCTGTGTTTGTTTGTTATTATTTTAAAGTTTTGGTTTTCCCAAGGAGTTGATAATAACTTCACGCCGCCCCCGCACACGGCCTTAGACTCGCGTGGACCCTCGCGACGGTGACGACGCGGCCGGCAGAGGGTTCCCACCCACACACACCGCTTGCGTCCCTCCACTCCGTCTGCGTGAGGCACGCGCTGGTGCGCGGGGCGGAGGAGTTGGCGGGGCAAACGGCGATGTTGTCCAGCGGCACGACCCCAGTGGAGCGAGCGTCGCGGCAGCCGGAGTCGCCCTCGACGGGCACTGATGTGGCGAGTCAGAGTCAAACTTCTCTCTTTTCCGCGACCCGGGTGTATGTGCGCGTTCGCCCCTTCAACCATCGTGAGAAACAGGAGAGCGCGCAGCCGCTGATGAGTACGCTGGAGCTTGCCCCTCAAGAAGGCATAATCACCGTTTTGGATCCCTCCAATAGTTACAGGCCGCAGCTTACCTACGCGTTTGAGCACTGCTTCGAGTCCAAGGCGGCTGAAGAAGAGGACGGCCAGGAGAGCGTGTATCAACACGTAGGCCGCTCTGTGCTACATAACGTCATTGAAGGCTACAACGGCTGCATCTTCGCCTACGGTCAAACAGGGAGCGGTAAGACGTATACCATGCTTGGGCCAGCTGGCCTGGCGGCACTGGAGACTCAGCAAGACGGGCGACGAGGCTCCTCTCGGGTGGGGACGCCGCGTGTGAGCAGAAATAGATGCACCCCTGGCACAACCCCGTTGAGGCTTGAAAAGTCACTGGTGCCGTCGGAGACGCCAGTTGACACTGAAAGTGTACTCATCACTGACGATAACGCTCAAGCTGTGGAGGGCCTTATCCCGCGTCTGGCACGTGATATTTTTCACTCACTGCATCGCAAGCACAAAAAGAGTAGTTCACACTCATTTCGTGTCGAAATTGAGTACTATGAAATTTATAATGAAAAAGTGTTTGACCTCCTTGTTAACGAATCCACCAGTGACAAAACTGAACTGCAGTTGCGGCACCAGCCAACGTGCGGCGCTTATGTGAAGGGGCTTGTGCGGAAAAATGTTGTGGAGGAAAAAGACTTGCTGAAGTGGATCCGACGCGGAAGTGTGGAGCGTCACACGGCCTGCACAAAGGTGAATGATCGCAGTAGTCGCAGTCACGCTATCTTTTGCCTTCACATTGCGCAGCTAACGTTGGACGAGAATGACAACGGCGGTCGTGTCAGCAGCAAGTTGAACCTCGTGGACCTCGCCGGCTCCGAGCGCACGGGCGCCAGCGGGGTGGAGGGGAAGCTGTTCAGGGAGGCAACCAAGATTAACCTCTCCCTCACCGTCCTCGGACGCGTCATTGACGCGCTCGCGGACCTTTCCACTGGGAAACACGGCATTTTCTGCCCCTACCGCGACTCCAACCTCACGTGGCTGCTGATGGATTCGCTTGGAGGAAACAGCAAGACCTCCATGGTGGCAACCGTCTCCCCGAACCCCCTGCATTACGAGGAAACGTGCCAAACGCTACGCTACGCTGCACGCGCCAAACAAATCGTCAACAGAGCCATAGTTAATGAGGACCCACAAGTGCGCCAGATAAAGACATTGACGGCTGAGCTGGCACGACTTCGGCGTCTCTTGTGTGAGCGGCCGCAGCTTGAACACCGCAATGAAGGCGTGGAGCGGCTTCAAGACCGAGTCCTGCAACTGGAGCAGGAAGTTGCGGACCGCGACTTTACCATTGATGAGCTCCGATCCCAGCTGCTGGAAAAGAATGTTGCGGAGCTGAAAAGTCTCGAGGATGAAAACAGACGCCTGCATCATGAGGTGAAGGAGTTTAGGCACACCAACATGACGGTGCAACGACTCCAGAACGAACTCAGTGCGGCCACCAAAGAAACTGAGCAGCTTCGTGCCCAGCTGGCGGTACTGGAGAAGGAGAAAAAGGAGCAGATGATGTCTCGTTTGGTTGTTCCCTCTGCCAACTCACCGATGAAGGGCGCGGCAGGAGAGGCTACGGGCGGCCCGCAGGCGCAACTGGGATATTTCACTTTGCAAGCCTTAAACCGTCTTGGGATTGGCATTGAGGGAGGCAACTACGCACGTCTCATCGATGCCGTGACACGCTGCGCTCTACAAGCAACGCAGCAGTATAAGGACATGCTGCAGAAGAACGCCGCGCTGATCGACTCCCATAGCTGGGCCTTGCGGGAGAGCCTGCAAAAGTTGGAGAGCAAGGAGCGGGCAGTTCTCAGCGCCACCGGGGAAAAACTTGTCGCAGCGTTTGAAAGGGCCAGTGCCAAACAAGGAAAGCGAACTGAGATGCAACTGGAGCGGGCAACGTCGTCCTCGCCGCCAAAAAAAAGAAGGAGAAGTCAGCCGCGCAGTACGAGGAGGAAATACAACAGAGTCAGAAAGAGCTTGCAAAGGTGACTGCGCTTCTAAAGGAGATGAAGGAGCAACTGCGCATCGAGAGAAAACACACAACAAAGTTGGAAGAATACGGGGAGCAGTTTCAGCAACAGCTGGAGAAACAGTTCCTTGAGCGAGAAGAACTGAATAATAAGTGGGAGAAGCAAAAGAAAGAGGCACAGCGGCTCCAAGCGAGTGGGAAACAAATGCATAAGAAGCTCGCAGCAACTGAAGCAAGGCTGCTGCAGTCGGAAGAGAATCTTGCGAGCTTGCGGCGGAACCAAGCGGAGATGTTTCATGCCGCGGCTGTGTCGATGGCAGAGGAGCTGGAGGAGCGTCGTTGCCTGCTCGCCGAGGAGGCGAGTGAGCGCCACAGCCTGCTTGACGATCACCATGCTTCACTGCTGGGCCATGCACGCCGCACTGCGGAGAGGGAGATGGACGTGCTGCGAGGGGAACACAGCGAGTCCGTGACGCAGGCTGATGCCCATGCCCGTGCACAGCGGGAGGAGATTGACGCCCTGCGTCTCGCCTTCTCGAGGCAGGAGCGCAACGTTGCGGAATTCGCCGCCCGCACGACATCCGCGTTCAGTGCCCAATCTGCGGTGTGGCTGGACTTCTTCCGTGAAAAGTTGCAACTGCTGATGGACTTCTCCGAGCGCCACGCTGCC